TAACCATCAGACTGTGTTAAATTGACTAGGCAAGGCATTCCTGACTCTAAATAGTAAATGATGTGTTGCTGAAAAAAATAAATGGGAATGTTAAGAGTACTTAACAGTTATGATACAGGATCAAGAGTCTGTCTTTTTGACAGAACAAGGGAATGGTGTGTAGCTCTTCATATCAGGAAAGTCATCTATCATGGTTTTATCTTTTCATCATGTTGCTGTGTGCCTTCAAGTTGGAAACAATTCATAGCTGACCCTCCGGTGGGGTTCAAAGGCAGTATCCTGTTTGGAAAGAGATTGCCTTTCCTTCTCCCACAGAGCAGCTGGTAGATTCAAATTGTGTGCCTTTGGGATTGCAGCACATCTTCTTCTTACCATTTAGGGCACCAAAGCTCTTTCCTTATTCAGTATACACACCGAGCAAATAATCAGAGTAAAACAACTAGGAAGAATGTTGACTGAGTCTTAGAGACTTGTTAACATCCTGCAATATGGAGATGATCCAGCCTTGTTTGCCAAAAGGACTTGAAGCACTGTCTATAGCCCTCATTATGTTGTTGTTATGTGCCATTGAGTGGCTTATGACTCACAGTGACCTTATGTAGAACAGCTCTGAACCCTCCTCTATCCTGAGCCAGTCTTCCTGTTTTTTATACACCTATCCCCATATCATGCAAGGGGGAGAAGGGTTGAGGGACAGTGAAAGAGAGGAGGACCCTGGAGGAGATGGATTGACTTGTTGACTCGATGACTGGAGCAGGAGGGGGTAGATGCCTTCACTATAGCTACTGACAGGAAGAAAGCACAAATTCTTACAACTGGACCAAAAGGCAACTTCATGATAAAGGGAGGAAAGAATCAAGGGTCAAGGATTTCATTCTATTTGCATCCACAATTAATGCCAATGGAAGCAGCAGTTAAGAATTCAAAGGATTTATTTCCCCAGAATAATGTGTAAAATACCTCTTTGTTGATAGGTGCCATTGAGTATGACTAACATTGATTCTAAACACTGTCCCATCCTGTACCAACCTCAAAATCTGACACATTCAAGTCCATTGCTGCAGTCACTGTCAGTCCACCTGGTTGAGGGTCTTCCTCTCCTTCGTTGTCCTCATTCTTTCAAGCACGATGTCCTTCTCCAAGGAACACTCTTAGCAACATGCCCAAAGTTTGTGAGATGAAGCTTCATTTTTGCCTCCAAGGAGCACTCTGGCTGTTCTTACTCCAATGTACACACATTGTCCTACATGTCTGTCCTTTTGGCAGTCCATGGGATCTTCAGCGCTCTTCTCCAACACTGCAGCTCAAATGGATCAATTCTTCTGTCATCTTATTCGATGCCCAACTCTCAGAGGTATAGAAAGTGACTGAAAAGACTATGCATGGCCTGAATCAGGCACACCTTAGTCCTCAAACTGACATCTCTGTTCCTCAATAATTTGGAGAAGTCCCTAACTGTGGACTTTGCTAGTACACTATGTCTCCTAACTGCTGGTCCCAAGTGTATTGTAGATCTAAGAAGGATAAATTTGTTGAGTTTCAATCTTTTACCATGTTGGTCCAGTGGCAAGAATTATTGTTTTCTTGATGTTGAGAAACAAAATATATTAAAGGCTTTATTGTTTAACCTATGGCAGCAGTCCTTCTCACTTTCAGCAAGGCTGCTCCTCCACTTTCACTAAGCAAAGGGTCATGACTGCATACGAAAGGCTATTGATGAGTCTTCCTCCAATCCTGATACCACATTCTTATTTAGAGTACAGCTTCTCAGTAATTGCTTGGCATAGTGAATAGGTATGGTGAAAGGATACAATCCTGACACACACCCTTTCTCATTTTAAACCATTCAGTATTCCCTTGCTGTTAATACAGCAGCCTCTTTATCTGGTGATAGGTTTCATATGAGCACAATGAAGTGTTCTAGAATTCCCATTCTCCTTCAGGTTGGCTATAATTTGTTATGATCCAAATACCTTTGCATAGTCAATAAAGCACAAATACTTTTTTTTTTTTAAATTCTTTGCTTTCATCCAGGAGGATCCATCTGACATCTGTAATGATACATCCTGGTGCCACAGCCTCTTTTAAATCCAGCGTAACTTCAACGTTCCCTGTCTATGTACTTTTCTAGGCATTTTGTAATAACCCTCAGTAATATGATCTTCCAAAAGGAGCTAAAAAAGCAAAGCTGTTTTTATTTTGAAGGATTAAGGTAAGCCTGATCTAAGCCAGAGTGTTTTTAATGTGAAAGGTGGACAACAGAAACTGAGTTGTTATGTTTGACTCTTGATGCTGGTGATGTACAGCTCAGTCAGGCTGCTCAAATAGTCATTTTGGAGGAAATGCAATCATGGTGTTCTTCAGAAACGAGGATAGTGGGACATCATCAGGTTTCAGGACATGGCAGCAAGAGGGACAGGTCTGTGGAGGGTATCATGCTTGGTAAAGCATCAGAAAAAAAAGAGAGGCCTTAACTGAGATCGAGACAGTAGCTGTAATAAGCCTCACACACAGCAATGACTGCGAGGGTGGCATACAATTGGGCACTGCCTCACTCTGTTACAAACAGGCTGATTAAATGCTGAAACTGACCTGAGACCTTCAACAACTTGAACTGTACTACTGAACCACCACTTCTGTCTATCATCATCTCTGTCAGGAACTCTGGAGTAGATGATGCAAGAATTTTAACAGCATTTGTGAAGCTTAATAGACTTAAACATTTCCATTTAATTTTATAGGAGGGGAAAAAAGTTAAGAACTCTAAAGGCATTACTTGCTCAATGTCATTTAACTCACTGTGATTGGCAGGTAAATTTAAGAACATCTCTGCTCTGAAAGATGAGTACGCGTAACTTCAAAGGAAGCCACAGGATCTCCACAAAGGGGGGCGGGGGGAGGAAAAGGCTGACAGCAAGCACAGGCTTGCTTATCTGAAAGGCATCTCAATTCCATCAGAGAAACATTTTAGAGTTTGTAGGGGGAAATAAAAAGCCACAATGGACTTTAAAAAATATTTATTATTATAAGAAGTTTCAAATCCCTCTCAAATGTTTTGACACTTATAAGTTTTTATATCTGACTTTTATGAGTCTGTTTCTCCAAGGTCAATCTTCTCTCTTGAAGCCATCCTTATTCTTAAGTATTAGGTCTTGCTCCATTGCTGACACTCCACAAATCACTTGGTCTAGGTTCACAACCAATATAATAACCTGAGTAGCTAGGAAGCACTCAAATGATGCATTTGCAAGAAACTTGAAAAGAGCGAGCAGAACAAAAAAGGATGTTGTGTGTACTTCTGAACAGTACAGGGCATCTATCCAGGGTCAGGATCATCCTGGGCATTAACTCAATTATGAAAGGAGTACAAAAGATTCTTTAAATAATGGTTGATCTGGGGCCTGACGTGAAGGCTGTAAAAAGTCCTGGCCGAGGGCGAGAACCCATGCTTTGGCTTTTCAGTCTTCTAGTAGCTTCAAGGCTAAGTATGTTCATGTGTTTGTCCACTGACATCAAGCTCCCTCTGTGGGTCAAGAGGATGTGTATGTTCTGAGGACAAATACAACAGATGACAATTCGTGATGGTCCTTTCAATTTGCCCGTTGAGTCTTCTTTTGGGGATCTAATAGGATGACTAGACCCCAAACTGCAAGAC